ATGGAAAAAATCCTCAGGTTACTTTTTGCCTTCTGAGATTTGGGGGCTAAGTGGGATGAATTATCCAGTGATGCTTATTATGCCCCCAAACCTTTGCCAAAATCATTTAGTGTTGATTACTTTGGTTAATGACTAAATATTTGATAAGTCTTATCATTTAATATTTGATAAACCATATTTAAAATTGATGGCTGGAACATCTGCCTTTCTGTGTGAAGGAGAACGAATATATGTGTATGGCCTTCAGGGCAATAGGAAACCAGTGATGGGTCCAGGCCCAGTGAGGTGGGAGCTCTCCCAACACTCCTGAAGTCCAGCTGAATACTTAATTCCCTGGAAGTACCACAGCATGGACTTCATCGTGAACTTTGTGAGATTTGAACAGGGCGGGGAGAAGGGTGATGGAGAAATCAGATGATTCAGGTCTTCTTCCTCTCAGTCTTGACCAGGAACCACCACTTTGCAGGCTGGTCCCTCACTCTCCTTCACTCTGGGGCTCCAGGGTTGTTCCTGGTTCTCATTTCTGTGATCAGGAAGCACTGTTGGAGTTGAGTTTCTCAAGACAGGAAGACTGAAGGGGGCAGAAGGTGAGCAGGCCAGAGAAAGGCAAACCTGGTTTCTGTTGGCTGAACCAAGTGAACAGACCCAGTTCAAGATACTGTTCTCTCATCTATTGGTGTCTAACAAAATACCCCCAAGTTTAGTGGAGTACAGGGTAGGCTCCAAGGGAAGCAGACCTGTGGAGGATGATTATTAAGAACTGCCCTTGGGATCAAGACTTGGAACAGAAGGAAAGGAGCAGTAGTGGACAGAAGAGATCATGCTTCCTTGCAGTGGCAGCCCCAGTGGGTCCAACAGAAAGCTCTGAAGGACCCTTAGAGTTGCCCCAGGTTGGACAAACTAGCCCACGAGCCAAAACCAGGTGGTCACCTAGTTTTATAAATAAAGTTTTACTGGAACACACCACGCCCCTTCATTTACATATTGTCTAAGGGGCCTCTCACCTTACTTGGGCAGAGTTCTGTGGTTGTGGCAGAGCTATATGCCCCCAAAGCCTGAAATATTTATATGTAGTCATTTATAGAAATGTGTTCAGCCCAGCTTTACGTTCTTACGCCCAGCAGTCATTGAATATGACCTTGGCCAGCAGCTTGTAGCAGAGGCAAGTCCTAGTGTCCTCCCGATAATCGAATAGCGCATCCTCCATGGGGAGCATGGGTGGTACTCATGGTGCCCTCCATAAGTGGATTAAAATGACCATTTTATTTTGTGCATGATTTTGTGGGTCAGGTATTCTAGAAGGGCTCAGGGTCTGACCTTAATGGCCTTTGCTGGACTGGAGAATCCACTCCCAAGATTTATTTCTGGCTTAATGCCCCTTGGCTTCTTTCTCTCTTCATGGGCTATCTCATCTTCCAGGGATTTTTCATAACACATGGTGGTTTCAGGATCATCACACTTCTTACATGAGGACTTCAGGATGTGGTAGCCATAGGCCTGTGAAGGACCACATTGAAACTGGCACAGAGTCATTTGGCTGTGTCTTAATGGTCAAAGTGGCCACAGGATCTGTTTAGATTCAAGGTGGCAGAGCCACAGAGCCACGATCATAGTGCAGAAGAGCATGTGGCGTGACCTGCTGTGTTGCCATCCTTGGAAAATACCAGAATGTGTCGGTTGGCCAGGTAGCTGGCTTACCCAGGTCACAGAGCTGTTTATGCTTCCCAACACCACAGTCACCATCATCACCTGGGTGGCTTGAAAAGGCCATGAGAGGAATAGGACCCCTCAGGAATGGGCGTTGTCCCTACCCCCAGCCCCTGGGAGCCCACCGTTAAAAATGGACCAGCACACCACTGCCGCTGTGGGAGGGCTCTTTGTTTGAAGCCAGAGAAGAAAAACAGTGTTTATTGAGCGCCAAGAGGGCTCTACATGTCCTGGAACCTCAAAACAGCTCTGTGGGGCGTGATTGACTCCTATTTTACAGAAGCGGAGTCCCAGGCTCAATGTAAGTTGGGTAATGGAAGAGAATTTGAACTGGGGTTCACCCTCTGCTGTCCTGCCTCACAGAGCCTGGAGCCCAAGGAGAATGAAATCGGTTGCTCTTCACTGACCAGAAAGAAGCTCAGGTCAGACAGGAGTCAGGGAAAGCTACCAGAGATAGAAGGAGCCAAGGCCTGGCTTGGAGTGGCAGTGGGTTTCTAGCAAAGACCCGGGCCTCTGCCCTGTGCTGAAACTTTGGGTACTGGGAAGTTTGCCCCATCTCCAGGCATCCAATCCCCAGCCATTTCTCACTGTCAAGAAACTTGCAATGTGTTTAGAAGCACAAGCAGGCTGTGTGGGCAAGGGGGAGTGGGGACCCCCTGAAAGCGGAGGAAAGATGGGCCTGGGCATCTCTATCAGGATGCACCCCCCCCCCATGAGAGTGCACTGGTTAGCCCAGTCAGTGGGTTTGAGGGGAAGCAAGGCAGGAAGGGGGCTTTCCCCTTGGAGCCCTGGGGCAGGTGGCACGGCAGTCCACAGGGACGGTGCTGTCCCTCCTCCGCTTCCTGGACCTCAGCCTCACACCAGATCTGCCAGATCTGCCAGATCTACGTCATGCGTATTTATTACCTTTCATCCTCAAAATCCTCAAAGGAATAGGTCCTGTTATACCTGTTTGGTGAGAAAGGGGGGCCCAGAGAGAAGGAATAACCTTCCGGCTACAGAATTAAGATTTGCACTGGAATGAGAAAGAAGGAAATCTGGCCATTTATAGTAACGTGGATGGAACTGGAGGCTATTAAGCTGAGTGAAATAAGTCAGGCAGAGAACAGGTACCACATGTTTTCACTCATATGTGGAGTAGGAGAAACTTAACAGAGGAACATAGGGGAGGGGGAGAGGTTAAAAAAAGGAGAGGGAGGGAGGCAAACCATAAGAGACTCTTAAATACTGAGAACAAACTGAGGGAGGGGAAAATGGGTGATGGTCATGGAAGAGGGCACTTTTTGGGATGAGCACTGGGTGTTACATGGAAACCAACTTGACAATAAACTATATTTTTAAAACAAGATTTGCGCTAGGTGTACCGGCTCTGGACCTCGCCCCAGCCCAGGACGGTGCAGTGCACCTCGGCAAAGCCGAGCAGGCCAGAGAGTAAGGAAGCATCCAGATGATAGAGCATCTTGCTCAGAATTAGTTGGTTCTTCATTTCCCTTTTCTCTCTCCTTTTTTCCCACCTATAGTTGAAGGAATCCCTCTCTCTGGTTGGTTGGTTTTAAGAGGAGTAAGGAGACAGAAAAGTGAGGAGTAGTGCGGAGCCAGTGCAGGGTTCATGGCCAAGGGCTCTGTGGAAAGGAGAGGACAGTAAGGCAGGGAGGCCACTACCTCGGGAGTGTCCTTGTCACCCCGGGGCAGGACTCCTCGCCTCCCTGGCTGGCTTAGGTTATGGCCGATGGCAGATGTGCTGAGCCCTCTGCTGGGGTCCCAGGTGTGGAGAAGTCCCATCACCTGGATAAACATGCAGACCTTAAATATCAGAGTGAGGCCATGCAGCAGGAGGATGCAGTTAAAACTGAAAAATGGGCCTCACCTTTTAGTGTGCTAAGAATCCCCTGGGGCGCTCGTTAAAAATTCTGGGTTTCCTGGTGCCCATCTCAAAACTTTCAGGCAGCAAGCTGCAAGGGAATCTGCATTTAAAAATTTTTTTAATTTAATGTTTGTTTATTTTTGAGAGTGAGAGACAGAGAGTGAATAGGGGAGGGGCAGAAAAAGAGAGGAGACACAGAATCTGAAACAGGCTCCAAGCTCTGAGCTGTCAGCACAAAGCTCGATGTGGGCTCGAACTCAACGATCCGTGAGATCGTGACCTGAGCTGAAGTCGGACACTTAACCTGCTGAGCCACCCAGGCACTCCAGAATCTGCATTTTTAAAACACCTCAAGCAACCCTGATACTGGTGGATCTGGGTCCAGGCTAAGAAAAACAACAGCTTAGAGGATCTGACTCTGTTCTTTAAGACACAGGCTTTTGTCATTATAGCTTAATCTCGTAAGCCCGTTTTTCCCCCCCCTCTGGATATAGAAGTGGTACGTATGTTTATGGAACTGTCTTGCTGAAAGAAAGATAATGAACACAGCAGTTATATGCATAATTACAGTTAATTATTATGTTGTGAATGTATGGTTAAACTTGAGAAAAGATGAACTTATAAAAACTCTTATTAAAAGTTCCCTGTTATTTGCCATTAATTACTGCTGTAGATTTCTTCAGGGAATTTGTTCATTTATCCACTGGATAACAAAGTTTGGAGCTCTTGCTCTGTGACTGGGACTGTGTGAGGACCTGGTAGATGGCCAGGGGCTGATCTCTGTCCATCAGAGATTTACAGTCTGGCCGGGAGACTTATTGATAAATCCCCAAACACCTCATGCATTTCAATTCTGTGTACATGTATTCTTATTAGTGAAGGTATTTGTTAGATTCATTACAAAATGTGATTTTTAATAAATATATATTTATATATAAATGGATACAAAACAACAATAAAAAATCCTTATAGGACATATATTGTGATTTGAGGTTTAAAAGAATTGATTAGCCTACAGATTATGAACTTTCCAAGTACTTTCTGATTGTGCTAGGAAGATCTGTTCTGTAAATTCTGCCCAAAGTTGGCTTAGAGTTTTTTTTTTTTAAATCAGTAAGTTAAGACTTCACCTGTAAGTATGTGTAACAAAGATGTCTTCAAGATACATTTTCCCCCATCACATCTCTGTTCCCCCTGCCTTCATTAACTTAGCACATCAGGAGAATGGTATCCAGGTGCTTTTAAGTACAAATGGGCAGAATTCTCAGCCCAGTAGTGAGAGCCATGGAGAATTCTAATTCCTTGCTTAGTAGTTTCAGCTTGGTCTTAGGCTATTCTTTTGCCTGAAACTTGAACATGCCAATAGTCTACGAGAGAACAGATCTGTATGTAACCACTGTCTCAGTAACCTCTTCTTCCTGGTTTTCAGAGTGGCAGGTGGTGAGCTGTTTGACTTCTTGGCTGAAAAAGAATCGTTGACTGAAGAGGAAGCAACCGAGTTTCTCAAACAAATTCTTAATGGTGTTTACTACCTGCACTCCCTTCAGATTGCCCATTTTGATCTTAAGGTACGTTGCTGAGTGTAAGCCGGAGAGAAGTTTCTGCAAATCACAGCATCGGTTGTTTGCTATGGAAAAATTGAGGCTTCTGAAAGAGATACATTTTTTATCCTGTATGTTTTTTTTTTTTTAAGTTTATTTATTTGTTTTGAGAGAGAGAGAAACAGATGGAGGGGCAGAGAGACAGGGAGAGAGAGAATCCCAAGCATGCTCCATATTATGAACGTGGAGCCCAGTACAGGGCTTGAACCCATGAACCCCATGAACCGAGAGATCATGACCTGAGCCGAAATCAAGACTCAAACGCAAAACTGACTGAGCCACCCAGGCGCCCCTATCCTGTATGGGTTTAACAGATGGAATTATGAAGATAAATTACCAGGTATATAATGAATGCCTACTCAAGGATTCCTAGCCTTTTGTGGGACAGAGGCTCAAGATGAATGATTATATTCAGGAATCCTTGGGGAAGAATCAAAGGGTTTACCAGCCTGATCTTTGAGCTGCTGTTGGTTATGGAGTGTTTTCAGCTTAGAGTGGCCACTGGCTGTCCAGTTTGTATCCCCTGTGGCTGAAGGGCATGTAAGGTGGAAGATGTCTTGATCTCTCCTCTCCCTCTTGATGCAAAGGCCTGACTTTTTCACCAGCAATCAATCAAGACATACTTAGAGATTAGCTAATTGGGATCTTTGCTTATCTAGAGGCAAAGCACTGTGGGACATATAAAGGCATGTCATACTTCTAACTGTCAGAGAAGCTATGGTCTCTTTAGGAAGGAAAGGCATACACATGAGCAACATGCAGTGACAATGTAAGAATCAAGGTACAGTCCAAGGAATTGAGAGGATGAACACAAAGGAGCATGTGGCTGACTGATTCAGTGAATGATTCAGATCACTGGAGCTAGGGCAAGGCTTCAGAGGAGGGAGAACTTTCTCCATATTTACTGTAGCAACGCTGTCAACACCCCATCCAGACCCCCCCAACACTCGCTAACACACACCCTGAACACCGCTGCTACAACACACTTGTGGCTCCCTGCGTGATGTCTGGTTTCTGGCCCTGGGAGCTGAAAATGCCAAAGTAAATCCCCACAGAAGCTGCTGTTAGCAATGGAGGATGGGGAGATGGTGGACAAATACCCCAAGTCCCTGGAGCTCCAGTTGGAAAACTCAGTGCTGCTCCTACTTAAGTTCCCCAAAGGATACATTGTACTCCAGTCACCTTCACCTTGACAAGACCCCTTGTATGGTTGTCCTTCCTTCTGCTTGCTGTCTCCCAATCCTCTACCAAGTATTATTCCCTGAAGCCTGCTCCCACATAAACCACTTACACCCTAATCCCTGTCACAAGTCTACTCCTGGGAGAACCTAAACTAAGACATTTATTTTTCCTGGTGTTCTCTTGCAACTACCCTCTTACCCCTAGGATTTGGTTGTTTTCTCAGTGTGGGGGTTGGGGGACAATTCTACCACTTTGTCTTCAGCATAATATATCTTAGCTCTTTGTTTTTATTGTGGTAAAATAAACATAGCATAAAAATTACCTTTCTAACCATTTCTAAGCATACAGTTCAGTGGCATTAAGTATATTCATACAGTTGTACACCATCTCGACTGTCCATCTCTAGAACTAATGGATCTTTCCAAACTGAAATCCTGTATCCATTAAACCCTAGCTCCCCATCTCTCCTCTCACAGCTGCTGGCAATCACCATTCAACTTTCTGTCTCTATGAATTTGCCTATTCTAGACACTTCCAGTAAGTGGAGTCATACAGTATTTGTCCTTTTTTGTCTGGCTTATTTCACTTAGCATAACATTTCCAAGGTTCATCCATGTTGTAGCATGTATCATAATTTACTTCCTTTCAAAAGCTGGATAATATTCTGTTATATATATGCATATACACACCACCTTTTGTTTATCCCCATGGATCAGTTTATGGACACTGGGCTGTTTCCACCTTTTGGTTTTGTGAATACACTGTTTTGAACACTAGTGTAGTATTTCTCTCTTTCTCCTTTTTTTAAGCCTGAAAACATAATGCTTTTGGATAGAAATGTCCCTAAACCTCGGATCAAGATCATTGACTTTGGGTTGGCCCATAAAATTGACTTTGGAAATGAATTCAAAAACATATTTGGGACACCAGAGTTTGTTGGTAAGTTGTTTTTTTTTTAACTCCTGTGCTCATTTATTTCTTATAAATAATATGAATTATACCAACAAAACTCTCCTGCTGTAACATCATTTATTTCCCCAGTACATATTTCTGGCTTATACGTGAAGATAGAATCTGTTGTTTCACTTTGTCTCAAAACTAAACATGCTTTTATTTCCTCTTAGCTCCTGAGATAGTCAACTATGAACCTCTTGGTCTTGAGGCAGATATGTGGTAAGGAGCATGTCCTTGATGCCATCATCTTTCTGCTTTAGTTTACTGTATTTCTGACGTTTGTTTCTGTTTCTGTTTTGTGTCTAGGAGTATTGGGGTGATAACCTATATTCTGTAAGTACCAAAATCCACGCCTCATATTCTCTTACTCTTTCTTTGAGACTATATGTCTTAAAGAGACATCTATGTGTCATGTTGATCTCTTCAGTTTATGCATGATTTTTATGTAAACATATTCATTTTACACCCCCAGAACACGTGTAATTTATGCTCATTAAACATTTTCTCCTAATTCTCAATGAGTCATCAGAAATTACAGCATAATCACTGAAAGAAAGCGAGGCTGTCCATCACTGCTGAGAAAATAGGAAAAGGGTGTTTTTTTTTAACTATGAGATGATATTCCAAATTGACTTTGAAAATATATCCTATGCATTAAGCAGGAGCTGTTGTGGATGACAGTTCAATGCCCTATAAAATGTAATTGGATTCGGAGGTGGCTGCCCAAGGACCACATTATAATCTCATTCCTTACTCCTCTTATCAGATATGCTAGGAATGACATGGTAGCCCAAGATGTAATCATTCGTGTTCTGCATCCCACTTTATTAACAGCCTAAGTGGGGCCTCCCCATTTCTTGGAGACACTAAGCAAGAGACGTTAGCAAATGTATCTGCCGTCAACTACGAATTTGAGGAAGAATACTTCAGTAATACCAGTGCCCTAGCCAAAGATTTCATAAGAAGACTCCTCGTCAAGGATCCAAAGTGAGTGTCCATTATTCCTGAGGGGTACTTGGCCATGGCTTCAGTTGGGCCAGGGCTAGCACTTGTATTGTGCATGTAGACCATGTTTTTGAGAGCCTTGTTGGTCCCACGTGGCAAAGGAAAGCATGCCATGTGGAACGCTTCAGAAAATGCAGGCAGGGCCTTTGCACCTGCTCAGTCAGCCCCTGCAGACACAGTAAAATGGTCACAGAAAGACTGACTTCTTTCCAGCTTTCTTCCACAAGGCAAGCCCTGAACTGCGTTTTCCAGAGCATCTGCTTGGTAGGCCCAACTGGCATGGAAACAACCTTAGTGTTTGCTTCTATGGTCACAGCATTTTTTTTCTTTCCCCTCCCCCTACAAAGGAAGAGAATGACAATTCAAGATAGTTTGCAGCATCCCTGGATCAAGGTAAGCTGCATATTGTGATTGGTTTGGTATTATAGGACATCCCCGGAATGCATTTGCCTTAGGGTATTACTGGTTACTGTGGGGGTCTCACCACAGGTCATCTATGAGGTATTGCTTTTGACATTGGTGCTGTATTTTAAGACGACAGACAGCACAATGCAGGATTGTAAACAGGGAGTTGAAGGTCAATTGTAAATGGGTCAGGTCTACTCAACAGTGTATTTTTGGTTTGACTTGTGGGATTTTGGCCCAGAGAATATTTTAAATCTTTTGGAATTAATTGCCAACATTTAAATATCATATCAAATCTGGATTTCCAGCTTCTGTTGAAAAATCTGAATGTCTACCAGTAGTGAGCCCTCATTCCCTAAGGCCACCCTAACCCTGCACAGCTGCCTTTGGGCCTGGGCCTGTGGCCACCTCCTGGCACATCATATGCCTTTACATTACCTGCAACACCCATTGCCATTTGGGTTAAAGAACTGAAGTTGCTCCAGCTAGACCAGAAAGGACCAAGGGTGAGAGAATGTGGCAGTTACAGAATAAAATCATGGCACTGGTAAGGGGATTACAGTGCAACAACTGGCATTCCAGAAGTAGGGTTGGGCATCCAGAGAGCTTTGCTGTGTGAGCTCCTAGCAGTTGCGTGGGCTCCCTGAGGAGGCAATGGTGTCTCCTTCTCTCATCAGGAGAACTAATGGCCTCCTAAAGAAGATGCAGTACAAGGGTTCCCAATGCTGTCAGACAGGCCAAACTTGCTAGTCTCTGAGTTCCCTACCAGCTCTAAATTACTTGATGATACTAAGTTCAATTGCCTTATAACATGACCTCACCATGAATCTTGCCATTCCCAAACTCTAAGTCCAGAAAGTTGAAATTTAGCCTGGTCCAAGTCCAAGCTTTTCCAGTCTTTATGGATTTTATCAAACCCTTAGCCCCAAGAGTTGCCTTCCAGAGACTAGGTTCCTAGCTCCTGCATATTATCCCAACTTTTTCCGTTATTTTACTAAGCATCCTAAATAATTAGAGGTTTCCAGTAGTTGTCATGTAACTCATTTCCATCATTGGAATGTTCTAAATTTGCTTTCTTGGACTTTGATTTTAGCCTAAAGATACCCAACAAGCACTTAGTAGAAAGGCATCGGCAGTCAACATGGAGAAGTTCAAGAAGTTCGCAGCCCGGAAAAAGTGGAAAGTAAGCTTGTATGATAGGGAAGGAATAACTAATTTATTTCCTCTGTGACTCCCTGTGGCCAGGCTCATCTCTTCTGATACAGGCCATACAAAAGTGCATCATTTTGTTTGTTTGTTTAAATTTACTCTATAGTCTTCTGTACCATTACACTATTTTCAAAAGATAAGCAAAAATAGTATTTCAGTCCTTTTAACTCATATTTTTGCATGTAATTTTGCATTTGTTTTAAATCAAAACCATTCCCAAGGCAAATTTTTAAATCAGCGCAACAAAATTACAGTGCAATCTTTTCTTAAGTTCAACAAACCACATATTGAATAAATCTGTTCTTTGTGGTAAGCAGCATGGGAGTGCATTTATAGTAGAACTTGTGTAAATGGTTCTCTGAAACCAGCCTTAGTCTATGAATGGTTGGGATGGGGGTCGGGTGAGGCCACGAGCATTGGTACTGTGGTCTCTTGTTCTTTTTCAGTGTGAATGGCTTTGCAGGGGCTGTATGGGGCATGGCTCTAAAGGCATTCCAGTTATCCTTAAACAAATAAAAATTCAAGGTTAAGAAAGTGACAAGATGTGTTATGCCCAGGGTCATGTGAAGCCCAGAGGAAGCAGATACTTATCAGGTCTCTGAGCACTGGGCCAGAAATGTACCTCATTTTCACACCCATCAAGTTTGGGGTGCCTATGACAGGGATGAGGAGGATCACAGCACTAGGTTACTTAAGACTTAACACTTAAGTCTAAAAGAAACGCTTAGACTAGACTTAATATGTAGAGAGAACCACCATAAGTTTCTCTCTTTTTTTCTCCTTTTCACACACCCACCCCCACTCCCCTCACTCCCCTTCCACATGTTCTTTTACCTATTGTTGCTTTTGCTTTTGAGAGTAAACACAGAGGTGCTTGTCCTATAGGCTAAGGAGTTCCCCACCTGTTTGTTTCCAACAACTGTATGAGTTTTGATAGTCACATTACTATTAATACCAGCTTGCCTGGGCACAGGAACATAGGACAGGACCCTTAAGTGGGGATGTTTAAGAGGTTTGTTAGGATAAGATCCCATTCTTCACAAAGTAGAGAAGAAAATATTAAGAGAGAAGGGATATAGGGCATGCAGTTGTGTAGTTAATAATGAAATATGGAAGGAGAATCTCTATCCTGTTGTCTTAACTTATAAGACCTTTAGAAATTTCTTTTTTTTTTAATGTTTTTTTATTTATTTCTAGGAGAGAGAGAGAGAGACAGTGTGAGCAGGGGAGGGTCAGAGAGAGAGGGAGTCACAGACTGAAACAGGCTCCAGGCTCTGAGCTGGCAGTCAGCACAGAGCCCGACGCGGGGCTAGAACCCACGAACCGCGAGATCATGACCTAAGTGAAAGTCTGACGCTTAACCGACTAAGCCACCCAGGCGCCCCTAGAAATTTCTTTAAGCATATATGATCCAACCTGGTTGGAAGGTCTCCCACCCCTAAAGAACATGCTTCAGCAGTGAACGCTACCTCAAAGACTTTATCATTTGCACTAATTTGAGTATACGTAAACTCTTTCTCTTCCTCTCTCCCTGCTTTTTTTTTTTTTTTTAAAAAGCAATCTGTTCGCTTGATATCACTGTGCCAAAGATTATCCAGGTCGTTCTTGTCCAGGAGTAACATGAGTGTTGCCAGAAGCGATGATACTCTGGTAAGCACACCCGTTTGCCTTGGTAAGGTTCTTAGCACTGTGTATTTCCAATGTTTAGGTTGTTTGATTTGTTCAACAACCCAGAAAACCTAAAGTCACAGACGTGTCAGGCCTGTTCTTCTACTGCTTGAGGGAGGGAGTTGGGTGGCTGATTTGATGTACTGTGTTCATTCTTTTTTCTCTTTGTTTGGATTGGCACCATGCCCAGTCCCACCCACTACCTCTGACACTACCACCCTCTGCCCCACTCCTCCCACACTCACAGTTTGGTGAAAGAATGACTGGCCAGCAGAAGAAGAAAGGGTTTATTCTAATTTTTAAGAAGAAAATTAGAGTCCTCTATTACCACTGACCTTGGAAAATACTGGGCCTTAATACTATAAAAGAAGCAGATACTCCTCCTACCAACACACACCTCCAAAATCAGGGCAAATACTGTGGGGCTTGCTGGAGGAGTTTGTGGTAGACCAGAAGGCTAAACCCACTTGCTTTGTTAACATTGTATTGAGTACCCAACACCTTGAGAACAATTATATACTTTTTTTCCCTTAATGCACATTGAAACCTAATCATAGATTAACTGTTCAGATATGACTGGACACATCTGAATTGAATAAGACTGTCCTCTGACAGTCAGACAACAGGACTTTGGGAGTCCTGGTGGTAAAGGGGACATCAGAGAAGCCAGAAAGGGTGGTTCTATGGGAACCAGCCTGTTCCCATGACTGCATAGTTAGTGTTTCATGAATGACTCCAGGCACTCTATGGGCAGGATCACACACCAGCAGACACTAGCTTCTCCCCCCGCCTCGCCCAAGCTAGTTGCTTCACTGAGGGTCCAGGTGTAGCCTTGTAGAGTAAAAGGAGAAATGTTAAGAAAACAGAAGTGGGAGAGAAGCAAGTTCAGAGAAGGAGAAAGTGGAGGAGAAAGTCTGGGTTTGGGAATTGTTTGAGGGTAACAGTGGAACAAGTCTCATCATCCTGATGTCCTACTAATCATGGGGACCTGTCATAACCACCTGCTTATTTCTCCCATTCACCCCATTTCTCTTGACTGTCACTTTCACGCAAATGTCTCTTAGTCATTAACTAGAATTGTGATGGAAAAGCAAAACTGATGACGTTCTTAACGTAGAGTCTGTTTGAGTATTATTAAAACCCTCATGAGGTTTGTTTGGATTCAGATTCATAGAGAAGAGAAAGCAGAACTCAGAGAAATGCTTTCTCCGTTCCACCCCACAAGCAGAGACTCAGTCACTGTGATAACTAATGCTTTCCTAGATTTGAAATATTAGGAGCCATACCTCTGTGAGTCCAGAGATTTTATTTGGGAATTTTCCAGCTTATTCTTTAGTTCTAATGTACCATATCTGGTAAATATGTTATTATAAGAAAACTTTGACAAATTGGCAAGGATTTAACTAACTTGTTCAACATTCTCTATTTTCTCTTTGTAATTAGGAATGCATCTGTTTTCCTTTTTCTGGCCTTTATTTTTACATTTCTCCTCCTTTAGGATATTTAAAATATACATATATTTATATATAGTGACTAGCTTTCAGAGGATTTTGCCATGTTATTCTATACTTAGAGAAGGAAGAAATTCCAGTGATCAAAAAATAACAATTCTATAATTGGACAAATCACAAATTAAGACTGTAAAATTCAGAGGTATCATTTCTTTGGTTCTATGGTTTTTAGAATCTGAGTTATGCCTGACATTTTCTACAGTGGTTTCTGGGACTATGTATTTTGAAAGATTTCCAAGATAAACACAGAAAATAATTTGTTATCAATTGTTCTATATCTGAATCTTGAAAGGTGTCTGCCGTCTGGGCTATAATGCAAGTGACATTAAGACACAAGTAAATAGAAGGTGGTGTTAGTTTCCAACATGGAAGGAGCAAAAAGTAATTCCTGGTTCCTTTCATGACTGTGTGGATTTGGAGATTAAGTGGCTTACTTTCCTCTAAATGCTTCTCTTGACAAATGAGCATTGATTTTCTTATGTTGATAAAAGGATCATGGCCAGTAAGCAAACTCTTTTTCCCTCTTTGCTGTCCCTCTCAAGGATGAAGAAGACTCCTTTGTGATGAAAGCCATCATCCATGCCATCAATGATGACAACGTCCCAGGCCTACAACACCTCCTGGGCTCATTGTCCAACTATGATGTTAACCAACCCAACAAGGTCTGCTACTGTTCTGCCAGGGGTAGTGAGTGGGGGCTGGGGGGTGGTCATTGTGACTGTACACCTCCAAGTCCAAGGTGAAAAAGTTTCCTTCTACTTCTCCATCCTCCCTTGCTGTTACAAACTTCATACTGTGGGGGAAATCACTTCTGTGTCGAGAGTGAATTGAATTAGAAATGAGGTCGAATGCACTGAAGGCCTTTCTCCACACAGAGCCTTTCCCCATGCCCCTAGAGTGCCTTTAATCATGACACTGTAAATGTTCATCCTGGAAATGAAAATGTCACCTTTGAGTGTGAATCCAGCAGAGGAAAGCTGTGTGTTCCCCCGGCTGTCCCCATTCCTGTTACATAGCCACAGTTGTGTGTCTTTTAAGACCTAGGAAGCTGTATTCTGTTGGACACCAGTGACAGTTGTTTTTCCTTTCCTTCCAAACCTGAAGTATTTTTCTTGTCTATTCCAGCATGGGACACCTCCATTACTGATCGCTGCTGGCTGTGGGAATATTCAGATACTACAGTTGCTCATTAAAAGAGGCTCAAGAATTGATGTCCAGGATAAGGTCATAATTCTGTTTTATTGCCACTGAAATAACTTTTAAGTATTTCCAAATGTCTTACTATCATAGAGGTAACAGAGAAAAAAACACATCTGCCCCTTACTTAATTTATCAGCTTACTTAATTTATCAGTTTCCTGCAAATGAAGACGAACTGCCTAATAGCCTGGTCCAGTATAACCTGTTTTACAAAGAAAAAGGCAAACACTTCCTTTCCTCTTGCTCAGCATCAACGTTTCCTTGCATGCTACCCCAGATTTACTCCTTACACATCACATTTACCCAGCAGTGTTATTAGATGTCACATTCAGGAAAATTTTCATCATCTAATTAATCTCATCAGAAATGTATATGCCTGCATGTGCATTAGGGCAACAAAGTGAGGATGACCCATGTGCTTTGTGGCATGGGTCACACTGGAAGAGTAACCACAATTGATTAACAGCTAATAGTCAATATAATGGATCTGCCATCAGCTTCCATAGATTGTACAGAACTGTAAATGGGCTAGAGCAGATCGTGACTACAGAGGAAATTCTAACCAGAGATTGAAATGAATGTTTTAAGAAAACAAAAACATGAGTTCGAAATAATTCTAGATTTACCAAAGAAAGATGCCAAGATAGGACAGAGGGCTCCTGGACCCCATTTGCCCTGCTTCCCAGAATGTTAACATCTTATATCACCTTGGTCTTTTTATCAAAACTGAAAAATAAAGTGAGAGTTTGTTCCTCTTGGAAGTTGCTCTGTTGAAGTTTACTGTCACACAGGAAGGGAAATAGAGTGAGTCTGAATGATATGTGCATTTGGATCTGGAAATGTGACTCCACATTGGTTTTTATGCAGGGTGGATCCAATGCTGTCTACTGGGCCTCTCGGCATGGCCACGTGGACACCCTGAAATTTCTCAATGAGAACAAATGCCCTTTGGATATTAAAGACAAGGTAAGGCCACTTCTCCTCTTAGGGACAGTGGTAAGTGATACGAGGAGACATTTGAGTGTTGACATGTCATGTGCATCTGGACCCAAAGCAAAAGTGTTCATGATCAACATCTTCCTATAAGAAGTTCAGAAGTTTCTTTCTGCTGTTGCCATGGTCTAATATTAAAATCTGCATTTAGCTGAACTCTGCCAGCTAGTTGGCATAATATGCAAGCAGTGAATTATCTTCCCTATAACCTGGAAACTCAAAGTTCTACTAGAAAGACAACCAGAAACAGACCCGAGTTCTGATTCTTATATTGAATTGCCATGTGTACATCTTTTTACCCCTTCTCCTCCTCTCGGAAATAGCTGCCAGTGCTGAGCTTATAGTCCCTGGCACTAGAAGAATTCATGAGACAATGCATATAAAATAAGGCTTTGTGGAGCAAAGGTATTATAATAAAAATTGTTGATTTAGCAAGATACCTTACTTTCATATATCTGTGTTTCATTCAGTTCACACAAGAACCCTGTGAGTTAATTGACAGGGCTCGAACATGTACCTAGGATTCTTATCTCCTCATCCATTATGCATTCTCCTGTGCAACCCTTTTCTACTCCTAATATTTGTAGACTGACTTGTCATGTTTAGTCAGGGCTGCCATATATAGTTGTATAGACTGTGCACTGGTCTGTATCTAAGGGATGATATTCACATCAAAGACAAACACACACACACAACACACATACACATCGTGGCAATTTTCTGTCAAATATCAACAAGCATCTTGTTTTGTATAAATCAGTTTATACTCACAGTTTTTGGACAGATATAAGTAAAATATAGTAAGGAAACTGCACTTATTACAAGTTCACAGAATGCAACTGTGGGCTAATAGTGATGTTTTTTAAAATCTCTGAGAATGTAAGAAATAATATTCTCCACATAGACAAGGAAATCAGAAACTTGCTCATAAATAAAACTGTGTTTAAATAACTTAATATTAAAAAAGGAGTTTTGTGTTTAAAAAAAAAATCACATCTCTATAAGCATCCTTATATAAAGAAGATTGAGAACTTCCATGACAGAGAAGGAAGGCATTCTCACGAAGGAGGTTTTATGACTTGCAGGATTAGCTACATGTGTGGATTTAACACTAGCTGTGTGGTGGACCCTCTCCCCCAGGACCAAAGGGGTGTGTGGCCTGCGGGTGGTGAGGGCCTCTCCAGGGGAAGACTGGAGCCAAGTGTTCATGGGAGTGGCCTCCAGTCTTGTGCATTTAGCTTCTAGAGTCAGCTCTAGCCAGAGGTGTGCTCTGAATTTGGCTGTTTCTTTTACAGTCTGGAGAGACAGCCCTTCACGTGGCGGCTCGCTATGGTCACGCTGATGTGGTTCAGTTACTCTGCAGTTTTGGCTCTAATCCCAATTTCCAGGACAAGGTGGGTCATGGTAGCTGATCTTACTTCCTTTTGCTTGCTGTGTGGGTGTACCCATAGCCGTTTGATATGGTCGGGTCCTTTTGGAGTTTTATCCAACGTAGGTTTTCTGCTTAGATTTCAGAGGGCAGGGACTCAAATAGAAGCTCTAACATTCATTCATTCATTCACTCTTCTGTACAACCCTATGAGTGAGTTGCTATTATTTTCAGTCCTTCTTTTATAGAAGGGAACATCCAGGCAGAGAGAGGTTTAGTAGTTTGCCCAAGCTCACACAGATCAGATCGTAAGTGGCAGAGCTGGGGCTTAAACCCACACAGTATGATTCCAGAGTCATCTTGTGAGCACTACAGTGTAAGAACCTCTTGTAGACAGAGATCTGTGTCTAATGATGTTCATTGTGAATATACAGGCCTTAGAATCCTGTAGATCTCGCGGCCAGCCCTTACCTTGACTTGTTAAAGCAGAATTATCTTGGCTTTTCTTTGCCAGAATAACAAGTTATGTGAATCATCTCTATGTTATATACATGACAGAAATCTTGAGGTGTTAAGTTTGTTACAGGAATTCCTCCTCTGGTAAGTGCTCTCCTCCTGTGAGGAGTCCTATATGAACCGAATAAAGGCACGTTGACAAGAAAGATGTTATAAATCCATTCACACCATGACTCTCTGGTTTAGAAGAGCCAAACCAGCTCTTTAGGGGACTCCTAAAAGTCAGTTGTTAGTAAACCACAGGGAAAACTGAATTTGTCCAACACCCAAGTGTTGTGGAAAGAAAACTAATGAAGGGCAGACATCAGACCTGCATCTGTTATTTCAGATTAACACTTTGCTCCAGTGGCCACGAGCTCTTTTCTCTGCACTGCCTTGACTCGGCAGCTAATGCTGGCTGGAACTCACCATGTCTGCACTGGTGTGTTATTGTGTTCTCCTCCTTTACCCGCATGTCTCTTTGGCCAGGAAGAAGAAACCCCCCTGCACTGTGCTGCCTGGCACGGCTATTACTCTGTGGCCAAAGCCCTTTGTGAAGCCGGCTGCAATGTGAACATTAAGAACCGAGAAGGAGAGACTCCCCTCCTGACAGCCTCTGCCAGGGGCTACCACGACATTGTGGAGTGTCTGTCTGAACATGGAGCCGACCTTAATGCCTCCGACAAGGTGCTTTGTGGGTAGATGTGTCACACTCACTGGCAGGTGATCTGGGGGGCTGAGGGGACCACAAGACTCCTCCATCAATTACCTAAAGTAACAAATTCAAATGTAGCAAATTACAATAATCCTTTCTCTTCTGTTTAATAATTAATATTAATTATTAACCTAATAATCTTAGATTCTGTTTAACAATTGATACTCATTTGTGTCATGTTAACACTTTATGGCCAGATGACTCAGCTGTGTATTTTATGTTTCACCTTTTTAGCTTTGAAGCAGGTACAGTAATGATGATCGCTGTGCCTAAGACAAGCTTCAGTTAGGACTAAAATTGGCAACTCTTTATTACTTTGATATAAACAAGTAAATAGGTGGTTTATTTACTATCATCACCCGCTGTTTTGTAAAAAGATAAAAACCACTCTTATTTTTCTGGTAATTGCAATTCTAGTCCAGGTGTTCCTTTATTAATTAAGCAAATTCAGCATAATCTGTTTTTGTTTGTGAGCTTGTACTTACATGCGACTGTGGTGTTACTCCATATAGTCAGATTTGGGATGTTGTAGTTAAGTTAGGAATTGCCATTTATGGACTATTTTCTTTGTACAGAGAAGTGGTTCTCAATTGGGAGCAAGCTTGCCCCCAGGAGATGTTTGCTAGTGGCTGGAGAAATTTTTTGGTTGTCACAGCCAAGAGTGAGGGTTTCTACTGGCATCTAGTGGGTAAAGATCAGTGTGCTTTTGTTACACATCTCACAACTCACAGGACAGGCCCCAGATGTCAGTTAGTACTGAAGCAGAGAAACCTTAGGAGAGATAAGTTACAGACATGTCCCCAAACCCTCTACCCAGCTCAAGAAACTCAACATGTCTGTTCACCAGGGGTTCTATAACAAATGGAAGGGATTCCCAGTCTGGTGTTTTTTGGGGTGCATGGGTTCATCATGTTATATTTGCCTCTGATATGTATGACCGCCCTGGAGCACATCAGTCTCGTGATTTCTCTTAGGGTAAGATAAAACAATAGGCTTTCTTCTTCTTCCTCCTCCTCCTCCTCTTCCTCCTCCTCATCCTCTTCCTCCTCCTCCTCTTCCTCCTCCTCCTCTTCCTCCTCCTCCTCCTCCTTTTCCTTCTTCTTCCTTTTTTTTTTCTTTTTGAGAAAGAGCAACTGCAAGCAGTGGGGGAAGGGTAGAGGGAGAGAGAATCTTAAGCAGGCTGCATGCTCAAGGTGAAGCCTGACTCTGGGCTCCCTCTTATGACTCTGAGATCGTGACCCAAGCCAAAATCAAGAGACGCTTAACTGACTGAGCCACCCAGGCACCCCAGATGATAGGCTTTCTGCTTAGAAAGTAACTAAAAACTGCTGAGCAGATGTTTTTAAGAGTGGTTTTCAAGGCACCTGGGTCGCTCAGTTGGTTAATCATCTACCTCTTGATTTGGGCTCAGGTCATGATCTCATGGTTAGAAGATCGAGACCTGTGTTGGGCTCCGCTCTGGGTGTGGAGCCTGCTAAAGATTTTCTCTGTCACTGTCTTTCTGCCTCTCCCTTGTTCATGTTCTCTCTGTCCCTATTTCTCTCAAATAAATATTCTAAAAAAATAAAAGGGGTTTTTAAGTGCTTGATAAAACAGGCCCTTGGAGTACCAAAAATGACGTAAGTTCTGTAAATTTAGAGACAAGAAATGGTGTTGGGTTTTTCTGTCTGACTGTTCTGGCCATGCCCAAATTAGGCCGATGGTCAGCTTAGTCTGTGGTTGTTTAGAATGGGGTGCATGAAGCCTCTCCCCCACTTGCCAGAGGTAAAGAATGTGTTGTAATCATCTTTCAGGCTTTGCTGTAACAATGCCATTACCCATTAAACTTAGCCCGGTGGCAGCTGGAAAGGCATGCGGCCAGGTCCGCGTGCATAAGGGAAGGTGCTCACAGCCCCTCGTGTTTGTTACAGGATGGACACATCGCTCTTCATCTTGCCGTGAGACGGTGTCAGATGGAGGTCATCCAGGCTCTCATCAGCCAGGGGTGTTCCATCGACTTCCAAGACAGGCATGGCAACACCCCCCTCCACGTGGCCTGCAAAGATGGCAACGTGCCCATTGTGGTGGCCCTCTGTGAAGCCAGCTGCAATTTGGATCTCTCCAACAAGGTAACACTGGAGGGGATCTCTCTGGGGGCCAGCAGGGTGTGTCCATCCACTGCTTTGGGGTTTTCACCAAGTTTCTCTTCGCATCTCTTCATTGTTCAAAGCCAGTGTTACTCATAGGGACCTGTTCTGTTCTGGCTTATAGAGCTCCCTACATTAAGTCATATTTTATATTGGATATTGAATAACTCCTTGACATAACAGAAAATCATTACTTTATTGAGTACTTCCTACCTAGCCAGGTTGTCATTGATGAACATCGAGAGGGAGAGAGAGAAAGGGGAAGTGTGTGTGTGTGTGTGTGTGTGTGTGTGTGTAACCTCTTTAGAGGAATCCCAGAATATTGGTCAAATTAGAGCATCTTTTTGTGACACTAAATCTTCAGGAAAATACCTCATTGAAATTCCTAGGACCATAGCTCTCTTCTTGGTTTTCCCTTTTGAGAATTTTTATGGTCAAACATTGAGAACACCTTTTTTGTGCTAAATAAATTTAGTAAGACCAGGGGAATGCTATCATTTGGCGAATACTAAAGAAATGAAAACAATCACATGCTTCTAGGTGATTTTAAAAACCCCATATGTTGACTTCTAGAAGTTAGCTAACACCTTCACTTTCACCTGAATACCACAGAGACTTTCATTATCAAATAAGACAGAATAGTTGTATATTCATGTGGTTTCAGCCATGTAATTGTACAAAAGGCAAGCACTACTCTTTCATGATTGTGTTAAAAACAAAGACCGAGTCTAATTAAATTTTTGATTGTGGGAAGTGTTTGTTTACAAATGGCAGATACAATGCCAGCAGAATTTTCCTATGATTTGTTTGAGGTAAGAGAATTAATAGCTAAAATAGCTGGAAAATTACATGTCTACAAAAAATTATTCCCCTTGTCTGTTATGTGATTAATTCTAATGAAACTTGAAATTGGCAGTCTTCACATTCTGGAAATTTGAAAACACAGGATTGAAGGTCTTAGCCATTAGCTGCTGTGCTGGTAACTTTCTTTGTTTATGCCATTCTAATCCTGCCAAGTCAGTTAGGTAAAGTGGCTTAAGGGGGAGGCCAAATATAATATTAAGCAGCAGCAAGACCTTAGCTTTCCTTCCAGAAATCTTTAAACAAATAAAAAGTGGCCTCAGGGAACATTGTGGTACTTATTTGAATATCTTTGGACTTGGCCATAGTACACACAGCTGGCCTACTGTGTGCACAGAATCTGGAGATGAACTGTTGCCTGGGAAGGTGGAGGAGCAGAGCGGGTGACTCATGGTACTTTGCAGTAAATGAAAGAAGGGAATGGGTGTTGACCCCATGCCTAAGTAGAAACAGTGCACTTGCTCAATCTGCTTTTTAAAATACCCAGCAAGACAATCCTAGACTTTCATGTTTAAAAGCAACTGACTTATTTACTGGGAAGGCCTCTGCATTGTTGATGAGGAAGATGGTAGGTCATACACACCCACACAAATTTGCTTTTACCATGTACGGCAACACAGCAGCACAGAGAGGGCATTCCTTAGGTGATTTTGTCACTGAATTGAGCTCAGCTGAAGCTCCGCAGTGTCACCCTCCTAGAACCAGCAGCCTTGTGCAGATGGTTACTTGGAACCTGCTTGGCATGCAGCGTGCTGATACCAGCTCCGCATGGAGCTGCACACGAGGTCCCTGGCCACCATCAGTGCTCAGGGACTCAGCACACTGTCACTCTGCCGGCTTCATACTGTCTTCAGGTGTTTGGTGATATCTTCGTTTTTTTCTCCCTTTTCTAAGTTTTTTGTTTTCTAAGAGGAAAGCATTATTTCCTCACAAAGCACATCTGGCTTTGCCTAGACTCACCCTAGTAAGCGGCTGTCAGAGTGGACCTGGAATGTGACAGCCCCTGTCCCACAGGCAGACTGTCACTTCTTTCTCATGGTACATCCTGCCTTTTCCTTACCTGGATTCAGTTCCCCCAGAGAGAAAAGTGGCCATTCAGGTCCTACCCCTCTCCTCAGTATGTGACAGGAATTTGTCTCTATCTTTGACACTCATCGCAGGGAAACAGATACTTCTCAGTCTTCATCCAAGTCTCCTGGGAAAATCAGGAGAGTAGCTGTTTAAATGGGCCATGTTGGGGAGCATGGGGAGGAGCAGCACTGGATGGCACAGAGCGCACGGACCTTAACTCTTTCTTCCACTGGGATGGCTCCTTCTAGTAAATACAGAGAAAGCATGTTGTACTCATGTACACATCTGTGCACACACACAATGAGATGCACACACAGACACACATGTGCACGCATGCACACAAGCACATAGACATATTCACCCCCACAGACACATGCACATAAACAGATGTGCACACACGCAAACACAGATGCGTGTATGTGCACACAGCACACAGACATGCACATAGTCAGCACACACACAAATGGGCACACATGCACACACACATGCACATGTGGTCGTATACACAGACAACATGCACATATCCAGGCATATGAGTGACAATTCCATGCCCTTTAAGCGTGCATTAATGCCTTTCTCTGACAATACTATGCCAGGGCAGTACGAGGGGTTGTGGATAGCAGAGTGAATGGTTCCTGCCCCCAGGCTGCTTTTTGGTATAGCAGTGTCCCCTTTTGCAGTCACTGCTGTGAAAGAGGTACTAGGTGCTATGGAAATGTGGACATCTGCACAGGAAAGAAACCAGGGAGAGCTTTTGGATGAAGAAGAAAGTGTGTTTCAGATCAGAGGAAGTGTTCCTGTATGTTTGGGGACTGTCTGGCTCCACCTGTAGCTGACAAGGGGTGTAGGTATTTAGGGAGGCAGGCAAGGGGGCAGAGAGAGAAAATGCAGGTGGAAGGGGACATTGGGTCCAGATGGTGCAGGACCTTGACATAAGGCTCAGGAGTTTGGGTTTGGTTCTGTCAGAGGTTGGGGCCTTCAACATGTCAACTTCCTAGTCCTTTTTCTTTGTTATCCTTTTTCCTTTCCATAAAACAATACCTCCCATTGTCAAGCCACTCTTCTTTACACATAAATCCAAACACTTCGTCACTTCTTCACAACTTCTTTTCCTTCTCGCTTTATCTCTATGGTATTTAATATTTGCTCCCTAAATCACTCTAGATGACAGAGAACAAAACACAGGCTTACACACATTGCAGCATTATTTATAAGGGCCAAGAATGGAGCCCCACCTTTTTTTGTTCTCTCTCTCTTTTTAAATATAATTTTTTGTCAAATTGGTTTCCATACAACACCCATACTCATCCCAACAAGTCCCTTCCTCAATGTCCATCACCCACCTTCCCCTCTCCCCTACCCTCCAAAAACCCTCACTTTGTTCTCATTATTTGAGAATCTCTTATGGTTTGCCTCCCTCCCTCTCTGTAACTTTTTCCTCCCTCCCCTCCTCCATGGTTTTCTGTTAAGTTCTCAAGATCCACATATGAGTGAAAACATATGGTATCTGTCCCTCTCTGACTGACGTATTTCACTTAGCATAATACCTTCAAGTTCCATCTGCATTGCTACAAATGGCCAGATTTCATTCTTTCTCATTGCTGAGTAGTATTCCATTGTATAGATAAACCACATCTTCCTGATCCATTCATCAGTTGATAGACATTTAGGCTCTTTCTGTGATTTGGCTATTATTGAAAGTGCTGCTATGAACATTGGGGTGCATGTGCCCCTATGCATCAGCACTCTTGTATCCCTTGGGTGAATTCCTATTGCTGGGTCATAGGGGAGTTCTATTTTTTTTAATTTTTTAACATTTATTTATTTTTGAGAGACAGAGAGAGAGCGGATGAAGGGCAGAGAGAGAGGGAGACACAAAATCCAAAGCAGGCTCCAGGCTCTGAGCTGTCAGCACAGAGCCCGACGTGGGGCTCGAACTCATGAACTGTGAGATCATGACCTGAGCTGAAGTCGGATGCTCAATTGACTGTGCCACCCAGGCGCCCCAGGGGAGTTCTATTGTTAATTTTTTGAGGAGCCTCCACACTGTTTTCCAGAGGGGCTGCACCAGTTTACATTCCCACCACCAGTGTAGGAGGGTGCCCGTTTCTCCACATCCTCGCCAGCATCTAGAGTCTCCTGATGGGTTCATTTTAGCCACTGTGACTGGCGTGAGGTGGTATCTCAGTGTGGTTTTAGGAACAGAACCGCCTTCAGTGTCCATTCTCAGTGTGCTGGCTGAGCGAATTGTGGCACACCCACATGCTGTCATTCGGGTATCCAAAAGGACGTGACTGACATAGTTACAGGCCCAGGAAGGTGTCTGCCATGTATAGCTAGGGGAACGTAGCAAGTGACAGACTAGAAAGTGGACTATGTCTTGGCTCTTCACAGTTTTGGTTTCCTTTTGTGGATTCTTAGCTAAAAGCCTGGAAGGCCAGCCACCCAAGGGTCTAGCTGGAAGTGCTCTGAGGAGGGGAGCCTGGGGTAGGGGACAGAAGGGTAGGAGCACTTCTGCTTTCCACCACGGATCCTACGCATCCTGCCATGCCCTTTGCACATTCTGCATCAGCGTGTGTTCACTTCGTAACAAAAACTTACATTTGCAAACCCGAACTTCCTCAGCTTCCAGTGTCCTTGGTGTCTCAGAAATGTTTTCTGTGGTTCCCCCAGGGCAGAAGAAATACCTAACAGTTCTGTTTATTAAGTAGTTCAGCCCAGACAACCTCTTAAGAATTTATGCCCTAATGACTCAGTAGCTGTTGGGAAAAAATTATACACACAAGTGGAAAGGAAATGAATGTTTTCATTTCATTCTTCCATAAGAAGATGGAAGTTGCACAATTGCATGCTGATGGAATGTGTGTGCTTATTGGGCATCTCACAGACCCTGAACCTCAGATCTCACACCTTGAATGCAGCTTGGATACTGCTACCCTTACTTCCTGTTCTGCACCCATGTTCTCAGGATACTTGTTTCTTGTCATCGTAACCACCAAACCCCCCTCTGTGCAGACCAATGTCATTGAAAGGAAGGTGGTGCAATCTAATGCTGAGACCCTGAGCTGCCTGGAACTAGTAGTTCACTTCGTGTCTGAACCTGCTGGTTCCATCAGAAATGTAAAATATTCCTCAGTACCCCGTGGGTTCACGCAGCACCCTGAAGTGTCTTGGCACAGTTTGGGAACCACAGACATAAGCAGTAGAGAGCATGGTGGGCATGGCCTTGCAATGTCACCTCATTAGAACAACTTCAGTGGCTGTCGTTCAATCCCTTTGTCCCTTGTGGTGCCTCTCTTTGAGCTGCGGTGCAGATCTTTCTGGAACCTTGGGACCTTTTATATGAGCCCTGACTCATGCCTCCCTTCTGCCAAAACAGTGGGAGGCTTGATTTAGTTATCTTATGATAAGCCTCCTACTCTTTCATCCTTTGGAGTTTTCCTTCGAAGTGACTCTTTTAACTGGAAAATACTCAAGCACGTTCCGCTTGGCTTGCCCCCCGCCCCTCAGGAGAGGGTGGGTTTCTGGAGAAGGGAGTCCACACATCCTGTTTCTTCAGGGAGACCCCAGATCCCGTACACTGTGCCAGCCCATGGGCTAGACTCCCATCCATGCCATCCTCAGCAGCAATCGTGAGAAGGACTCTCTTTGGGCTTTTTTTGTGTCTTCCAGTATGGACGAACGCCTCTGCACCTTGCAGCCAACAACGGGATTCTGGACGTGGTCCGCTACCTCTGTCTGGCGGGCGCCAACGTGGAGGCGCTGACCTCGGTGAGTCACCTTCTGGCAGGAGAAAGCCATAGAAAGCAGTAGAGAACATTTCAGGCCTCAGGGGCATCAGGGGAAAGGTGTCGCTTGGCAACTGTGTCTCAAGCAGACAAGCTGCTATTAGGCTTTGCTCCTGCACCGCAGTTCCGTAAACAGTTGCCCACACAGAGCCAGGGTGATAGCTGGTTACGCCGCATCCCCATGGCCCGCGCTGCCAGGAACGCCTGCTGTTTCCCGTGTTACAAAGCAGTGCCTTGGCTTGTTCTGTTAGTTATGTGTGTTTTCCTTCTCTAAGTGCTCCCCCTCCCCTACATGGCTCAGGAGGTGCCCTGGGCTTTGGGGGAGGAAGGAGAAAGGGGTCTTGGGGTGGGGAACTGCTTACAAGAGCTTGTTTAAGAAGTCTGGCTTTCTTATTTTGTTTCCCGCACCTCCCCACCCCTTCCATACCTGGCATTGCCCTACATGAGGAGGCCTTTGATTTACATTTCATGAAATGCCAAAGAGGAAGAATACATGCACTAATGAGATAAGTTGGTCATTTTCCTGCTACAGTGAAATATTATCATTTGACTTGTTTCTGGCCTAATGGTAGGGTGAGTCTGCTAAAACTCACTAATGCTTTGCTGACATAAAGTGCTTATCTAAGGAAGTCCATTGAGGTTTTAAAATATGGCAGCCAACTTTGGGAAAATCAGGGCCCTTTGGCCACAAGGAAGGCCTCATTTCTTGGAGAGTCATGTAGGGGTTGGCAAACTATGGGCCGCAGGCCAAATCCAGCCCACTGTCTGGTTTCTGTAAGTAAAGTTTTATGGGGACCCAGCCATGCTCATAGTTTACAGCCCACTTCCTGTTTCTATAAATAAAGTTTTATTGAGATCCAGCCATGAATGAATACATTATTTATGTATTCATGGCCACTTTCATGTTATAAGGGCACAGTTGAGCAGTTACGACAGACCCTATGGCCTATAAAGCCCAAAATTATCTACTCTCTGGCCCTTTGTAGAAAATGTTTGCTGACCGCTGGTCGAGGACATTGCCTCCCTGACTGTGCTGATGTTCCTATGATGTCATTCTGTCCCCACAAGCAATGGCCCCGTTCTCTGTAGTGTTGAGCTGGGCTTTTCTGCAGGTCTAGTGAAGGCCAGTGCTCTAGATGGGATTGTCCCTTTGTTAGGGTACCTCCCTGCCCATCACGAAACCCCGTGTGGCCATGCGTGGACTTCTAGACCTCATGTGCCATTATCAAACCCTGCCCAGCAATGTGTTGGCACTCAGTTCAGTTACTTCACAATACAGTATTTATATGCATTTTTATGAGAAGTGTTTTGGGGAGGTTTTGGGGTTTTTTGGTCACAAATATTGCCTCATAAAAAAACCAACTGTCAGTGATGGCTCTTAGGATACCATCTGCCCATTCTGCCAAATCTCACAGTCAGATTGGGGATGCTAACATGTATGGCCCTAGGCCTCTGCTGGGTTCTCGGTACTGTCCCATGACCTCTGTGCCTGCCGGGTCCTCTCCCTTTGCCCTTATCCACAGCAGCTATTTCCTTGCCTCCTGCCAGTGGCCTCCCCCTCTGGTGAGCCCTCAGTGTATCTCCCCACTCATCCTCTGCTTACCACTGTGCCTCTCTGCTACCCTGAAGTCCACTTATAGGCCTTCCTCCTTTCTTCATTCCCCAAATACTAGGTAGGTACTGTGCACCAAACACTGCTAAGACCGAGGAACACAGTGGGGTGTGGGCGGGTGAGTTCTGCTCCCTCAGGAAATTTGCAGTCTCACCGGGCAGAGAGCCAGACAGATCCAAGAACCACAGCAGTAAATGTAGTCACGGGGTCTCCAAAGGGGTATGCACCAGGTCCGTGAGGGAGTTTCCAGGTGTTGGGGGCGCTCCTCAGGGAGAGTACAGGGAGCACTCTGTGGGAAGCCACAAGGCCTTCCAGGAGGTAGAAGGACTGTGGGCTGGAGCACAGCATGGCGGGAGCTGGATTGTGCCCTGCCTCCCGGGCAGTGCGGTGGAGAGTAAGGTCTCACTCTCCGAGCTGTCTCAGGTGTCCAGCAGGGGAGCGGATGATCATGGAGACACAGTGCTCCCTGGTGACATCTCCAGCAGAGCCCTAACACTGCGGCGGGTGCTTTCCTTAGTGTGCGAGAAGCCTTATCCAAAAAGGAAAAGCAACTGAAGAAATTAATTTCAGGAATATATTTTGTTCAGCACAAAACATGCAAAATGTTATTTCTATGTGCAATCAGTATTTTAAAACTATTGAGATCCTTCACATTCTTCCGGGCCTCATTTCAAGCGCTGAGTAGTCAGCGCTGGGGAAGAGCCGCCTTCCAATTGGCAGAAAACAGTACATGCCCCCCCTTTCCTCTGCTTCTGTCCCCACTGCCTTAGCCCGGGAGCTTCGCATCCTTAACCCCAGCTCTCGACCCTGCAGCGCCCCCTAGCGGTCCCCTTCCCTCCCATTCCGGTCTCAGCCCCACCTACTTGGAAAAGCCTCTGTGTGTCCTGCCCTCTTTTTCCTGGGCTCCCACGCGGTCTCCCCAAGACAGCCCATCCTGGACTCCTGTTCTCCAGGTCCGGTCCCCAGTCGCCTCCTGGTCTCTCTCTCCTTCAAAACTTTTTTATTATAAGATAAAACACAGATTTTTTTTTTTTTTTTTTTTTGGAAAGCATATGAACAAAAGTAAAGTTACATAATTATTATTAGATCAGCATCTTTATAACCCACTCAGGTCAAGAAATAGAAATTTGAAGGTCGCCCTCGGGGCCTGTCTCAGTCGCTGAGTCTCTCTCTGCGCAGTGTAACCCCTCCCTGAGTTTTGGGGCAACCGTGTCCCTGGCTTTGTGCCAGCAGCTCTTGTAAATCCTATTGCACTAGCTGTCTCCCCAGGACTTGCACCTCCTGACTCTCCTTCTGCCTTGGGTAAGAAAACTCTTCGTGCTCCTGCGTCTGCTCGCCTCCTCCAGCCGCATGTCCATCCTGGTGACCTCCCACCCTCTCCCCACCCAGGTCTGCAGCTGCTCCTGGACTCAGGCCCACCTCCACGGTTCCAGCCCCGCTCTTTCCAGAGCGCCCCCTTCTGGTGGGCACCACCATCACAGGGTCCTGGGCCCCGCGCTTGTCCTCTCCCTCCAGCGCTGACGGCTCTGTTAGTGTCTGACCTTTGCAGAGGGCTTCTGCATGCGGCAGGTTGCCAGGTCCGGGAAGTAGACGCGCTGCTTGCCCCTCCTCCCCCACATCCTCCTGGTGACCACGTCCTGGGCTCCTCTTGGTCTCCTAGCACTCTGTTCTCCGGCCTGTCTCTGGTCAAGGACCTTTGTGTTTCCCCCAGGACTAGGCCATCCTCAGATCTGGGTCTTGACTATAGCCTTGGTGCTCCTGACAGTTCCACTCCATCACCACATCTATGGTTCTGGAAAAGCCAGTGAACTCTGACCTCCACTGCCCAGCCTCACCCTTCATCCCTGTCCCCCCTCAGCTGTACCTGGCAGAACAGAGCTCTTTGCAGGGGCTGGGAAGCCCCTCGCTTGCGCCCACCTCATTGAATTGGCACATGCTCTTCTTTCCCTCTGGAATCTTGTCTGTTTCCACCCCCTCCCTCCCCTGCACACAGTGACTGTGCATATACACCCCTGCTATAAGATAACATGATGTGTTCCTTCCTTCAGAGTAAGAGATTTTTTAAAATATTTATTTTATTGTATTTGAGAGAGAGAGGGTGAGTGAGAGAGGGGCAGAGAGCGAGAGGGAGACACAGAATCTGAAACAGGCTTGAGGCTCTGAGCTGTCAGTACAGAGGCTGACACGGGGCTTGAACTTGGGAACAGTGCGATTATGACTGAACTGAAGTCGGACACTTAACCAACTGAGCCACCCAGGGGCCTCCAGAGTCAGAGACTTTTAATGTCTAATAGTAGGCCCCCAGGCACATAGCAGCAGATGATATTATGGGCAAGAGGATTCTGGGACACAAACTCCTTGTCATCTTTTGATATTCAGCTGGAGCCCCACACAGCCTCCTCTTTCCCAGCCCCCTCTGGCAGGTATGATTTGTTCCCCTTTCTTGCTCTGTTGGAATTGGCTGCTGATCCCCCATGAGGCTGTGAACCCTTGGCCATGATCATGTGCAATTTGTCCTGGTCTCCTAACTTGTCTCCTTGCTTGTACCCTCATGTGTGTCCAGACTGTTTCTCAGGTAGTAGCTTGTGTGACTCCATTCAAATATAAATCAGAACATGTCCCTTCTCTGCTCACACCCTCCATCAACTTAGAAGTCCTTATGATGGGGGTTCTCTGAAATATCAGCCCCTTACATTGCCTCCAGGACACCCATCTCTCGCTCTGTCTCTCACTCAACTCCTTTGACCCCCCCCCCCCCCC